CAGGGTGAGGGACTTGGCTGACGAAGTGTATACTCGGTGTGGGTGTACTATTTCAGTAACTCATGGATTACCTTGCGCATGCACCATTCACCGCGTTATTACAGAAGAAAGGGCGTCGTTACATGTTGATCAAGTCCATTCATTCTGGAGGACGCTTGTTATTGGTGAGCATGCAGACAATCAAACGGCCGACCGTGAACAGGAGGAGTTGGAGCAGTTCCGTTCGATGTAAGACCGAGTGTCCTCCAGCCATCCTTCTATTATTCGTGACGCAACTCATGTACTTCATGACATGTTCCACCCGTCTAACTTAGATTATGAGGAACCCGAAGGAGTTGACCGTCCTCGAGGTCGACAACGGCGGAACAGGAGTGCGTTTGAGTATATCCGTGGTCTTGGTCGTGGTCGTTCTCGTGGTCGGACATCGTCATCTAGTCGTAGTCAATCTTCATCGTCTGTGAATATGCCCCTGAGAACTGGTACGTTTTGGTTGTTTTTATTGCACATAGTTTTAAAGTGTTACTCCTGCCTTCTTAACTGTCTATAATTAATTATATGGTGAATAGGAAGAAACGATGTTGATCAGTTTCCGTACAAGGAAAGGATACCTGCGATCATCATGTCGTACTTAGAAGGGTGGAATGATGTAATCGGAGATGGTAACTGCAGATTCCGGGTCGTGGCTGATGTTTTTCAAATGGGCGAAGACAACTACGGTTTGGTGCGTGAGTTGATGTACAGCGAAATTGCCTCTAACCGAAATGTTTATCGTCATGTGTACCAGGATGACTTGGATGGCGCTCTCCGGCGTATCCGGTGGGGAGGTGGACCTTGCGGCGAAAATCATTATTTTGACGCGCCCCTAGATCTGTTTGCCGTTGCAAACATTTACAAATGCGCAGTCATGCATTTCGGCCTGGGAGTGCATAGTCAAGCTTATTATCCTTGTACCACGGTTCTCCCTTGGCGGTCGCGTGAGACTGTCACCACACCGGTCAGAGAGCTAGCTATTGCGTTTCTTGGGTCGTCATAAGACATTTCATCCGACTAGACATGTCAACCGATTTTCCGGTGCCACCGATTATACCTCGGTGGTACAACATTCGCACAGCGAGCGTAGAGGGTTGGGATGCGCTATATAATGACCGGATCCACGAATGGAACACCCTAGCTGCATTTTAGTTTTTCTTGTTTACATTCTTTATTTGTAATCTTATTTGTACGTTGCTCTTTTAATGAGAACATTAATATTTTATATTGTATTGCTTACTGCATTCTATATGTTGCATGGGTAAGTTGCGCGGATCCACGAACGTTTATATCAAAATTTAAAAACAGCACTGATAATATGTTTAAGTTGGAAGCTAAAAGAACAATCTAAAATGTTACAATTTTACAACATAATGTCCAACATAATGCTCTATAAATAAAATACAATAACCATCAGTAATCCCTCCTCGACGACGACTCCCACTGCGCAAGGGTCTGTTCCAGACTATCAACAACAGCTCTCCCTGTTGCACTCATGCTGTCCTTCTCAAGAGAGAGTTTCTGAACGTCTTGCATTATCTTTCCCATCCACTGCATACAACAAAAAACAGAAGATGAAATACAATAACAAATAAAACTTAATTAAAAGACAACGATAAATATAATAAAAGACATACCGCTTCCGTGGCAGTAGGCGGTGGCACATAATCATCATCGCTGTGGTCGAGATCAGCGATCAACCTCGAGTGCGAATACCGGTTGAACCATTCCATGTAGTAATGGTCACACATGGGAGTAACCCCAGAGGGCGGCCGCTGCAACTCCGCTGTCCATAAGCGGGCCACCATCGGAAACTGGTCCCACGTCCCGGTCATGATATCCGGCCATTCCACGACGTACTCCCTCGACGATGCAGGTCGGACCGCCTTCATCGGGCACGCCGGGGGAGGAGGGACAACTTGGACAAATCCAAGCTGGCGAAGACAACGCTGGGGCATGTACGCCTCGACGATGTCACGATACTGAATGAGTCCCGTGTACAGGGTCCTGGGTACCCTAACACTAGGGTTCGGGCCGAAAGGCATCCAGTTCACCTGTACAATTACAACATATAAAATTTAATAACATGAATATAATATGTGCAAATAATAAAATGTAGACTCTATAAATAAACGTTACCTCTATAAATAAACGTTACCTCTAAGGGGGACAGCCTGTTCAGCAATAACCGTATCGATCGGAGGCGGTCAACGGACTTCTTCTCCGAGCGCGGACTCCACGCACAAGCACGCGGCATCCCCTCATCAATAGGAACTGGGTCACGATGTGGTCGCAATGCAGGAAAGTACTCGTATATCCAAGTCTGCAATAGAGTCAGACACCCAGTGATACCTGCCCCGTCAGCCCGACTCGCAAATCCTAGTTGGCGATACAAATACGCCAACGTAGCCGATCCCCAGGAAAACTGGCCTACACTGTCGGGGTCACACGCCTCTACGATGTCGCGTGGCCTGAGCTTGTTTCCGCCGCTCTTATCCGGAAACAAGGTACATCCGAGGAGTAGAAAAACATAAGCACTCAGCTGTGCGTCGGGCGTCCTACGTGCACTCGGGTACAAACACCGCTGCAACACGGATGCGATCTTCACACCTCCGTGTTCCCAAACACCTAGCGCCTCGGTGTACAGTGCAGCCCTGTCCACCGCCAACAGCTCCGCCAGCGAATCTGTCTGATCCGCATCAGCCACAGCACAAAGTCGTTTACCCTCAACACGAATCCCCAGAATGACCTCGACGTCATGTAACATGATCGTCATCTCACCGAACGGAAGGTGAAAAGAGTTTGTATCCGACTGCCATCGCTCAATGAAAGCCGTGATCAGCGTACTGTCAATCTTATCGTGCATGGTGGCAGGAACGTGCTTCACCCCAGTGCCCTCCAGTCGCTCGAACATCTCGCTCTCCGCCGGCCAGGCCTCAGCCCATGTACGCAAAAAGCTACAAGTCTTTTCCCGGGTATGACATTTCAACAACCCCGTAACTGAAGGCCTCTCCTGGTCCTCCCAAATACGGGCAGCTATGTGTCCTAGAAAGCTAGGAATCACACTCCCGTCAACAGGCCCACCGGGCACCTCACTCCTAACAACCCAAGAATCATTACCCGCCCTCGACCGTTTCCTGCTTGCCCCAGATACAGTGGACGCAGATGATGTGCCAGATCTACTAACAAACCTACCACCCCTACCCTTACGCACCTCCACCATATGCGTCTCGTACATGTCATCAACCCTCTGACTGAATGGACCGTAATCATCATACGGTCCACTGCCATCGTCCACATCCTCATCCTCATCTGCGCCCTCCTCCTGCTCCTCCTCCTGGTCACCCTCCTCAGCATCATCATCGTCATCGTCATCCCGACGGTGGATCCGTTCTCTACAAACTGAGGCCGAAATACCACGGGATCTGACATGTCTATGCCCCGACCTCTCCACTGAATAACTTCTACTAAGAAGCTCTATATTCTTCCCCCCACCATGACGACCCTACACAAAATTTTAAAATATATAAACATACAAAAATTTATACGATAAATAATCATCATCGCAAATCAAATAAACTAAAAACATACAAATAATTGTAAACAAAATATAAACGTAGAAAAAATACAACGAAATTGAAAAAATTTATAAAAATAAACAACAAAATATAAAAACAATTCAAAATTATATTACAAAAAAAAAAAAAATTAAAAACAATTTTTTTAAAAAATAAAAAATAAATAAAAATTGGGGGGGGGGCGCCTTGGCTGGACGCCCAGCCGGCGGTGGTGGCGCCAGATGCAGACGCCGCCACCAGTTGGCTGGCGCCTGGGCTGGACGCCACAACCACGGCTGCGGCGCCTAGAATAAACGCCACAACCGTGGCGGTGGCGTCCAGCCCAGGCGCCAGCCAACTGGTGGCGGCGTCTGAATCTGGCGCCACCACCGCTGGCTGGGGCGTCCAGCCAGGGCGCCCCACCGCGTTCACGGCGGTTTTCCCCCTTTTTTTTTTTTTTTTTTTAAACAAAATATACCTTTCCTCCTTGGGACATCCTTCCCTCCGCCGCCGCCGCCACTTCCTTGCCTTGCCGCCTCGACATTGCCGTTATTTTGAAATTTTTTTTTTTTAGAGAGGTTGAAAGAAGATGAGCAATGAGAGTGTGAGTGATGAGAGTGTGAGTGATGAGAGTGTGAGTGTTTTTTTTTTTAAGGTCAAGGGCAATTTTGGGAAACCAAGTGAATTTTGTGGGCTTTATGTAGTAATTTGTGGGCAATGTTTAACAAATCCCTAAAAAATGTAGTAGCTCTAAGGGGAGGAAGAAAAGCTCTCGACATCATTTTGTTATATACAAGTAATGTAAAGACCGGAAAGGGTACTTGAATGAGCAGAAACATCCAGTAAAATACCTACGACTCTACGAGTAGTACAGCAACCTGGAAGCAACACCAGTATGACGTACATTGTACACTTAACTGCTGTACAGAAACATTGAACCTTATGCCATTTTACTAGTAAGTTTACCGGAGCGGGTAGTCAACCACCCCTACTAATCAAAGCTCTCAGATCAGATGCACACAGCAAGAAGATAGCAGCGACGGACATTTAGCACGAACATTGCAAGTGCATAGGTTGTTTAAAGAGGGCAACCTAATGAAAAGTAACAGTGAATGAGTTGTATGATCACTCTATAATCTAAACAGTTAAGAGAAGCACCAAAAAGGTTCATGAGCCGGTACGAATAACAGAAATAGCAGTGTGTACAAAAAATCCCAACTTTGAGAGGCATCATTATCATACTATAAACTTTAAAGAGTATAAACAAGGTTCCAATTTTCATTAGCAGTTCCATAGCAATCTTCGTTGATTAGAGAGATCAAAATACACCTATACTTCAGTAAGATATTTTCACAAATGCATTTTAATGAAGAAGAAATTTAACTGAAAACATTTCTCCAAATCAGCCAGCAATTAATTAAATAAACAAATTCTCCATTTATTATCTGAATAAGATATTAACAGAATTTTATGTGCCCTCACACAGGAATTGGAGATGAAACATGGGACAAAAAGAGCATATATTATTCCATTTGAGTAGAAATTTTACCATAATCAATCATCAGAACTTTTTACAAGTGAAGCTGGAGCAGCAAAATCAGTCGCCCTTACCAATCAGATTCCTCAGTTGCACGCAACAGTATGATAGCAGTGACAGACAGACAGACAGATAAAAGCACAAACATGGCATGTGCATAGGTTAAAGAGGTCGGCGATTCAACATTAACAGTGAGCGAGTTGTATCACTTGTATGATCACTTTACAATCAGAAACAGTTAAGGGAAGCGCCAAAGAAGGTTCATGAGCGAGTAGTAATATCAGAAATTGCAGTCAACAGATTGTACTCTCGCTCCAATGTCCATGAGGACTCGTTCTTATGGTTGATATTGAATATGTATTCTCGGAAGTATCCATCATAAGTAACAACAGAAACAGTGGCCCTGCCATGTCAAAAAGATATGAAAGTGAGGTAGATAATAGCTGGAGAAAGATATTCATCACACCAAAATGTTGTATATTTCAGCCAAGATCTTTTAAAGTCTGCTACCAAAAATTGAGGTTTATTTGGTACGGAGTGTAGCAATCCTCAAGTTCCATGAAGCTGTTAGTTGTTACTCCGTATATTACAGAAATCAGAACTTCATTCACAGCTGTTAGTCAAGATTAAAAGTACGGTAATAGAGAAACAGACAGGTCAATTTTAAAGAATTGACTCATCTAACTCACCTGAAACAGAAAGTTCCAGAGCCAGAAGCATCGGAAATCTTCTCCACTTTGCGTATCACAGCATAACTGCAAAATACACTAACTTGAGAATATTTTCATACAGGAAATAGAATAACTTATAATGCATGCAGAACATCCACGAATGGAGGGATTAGAGATGAAAATGACAAGTCAGCAAATTTGTTCAGGTGTTAAGATGAATGTTAATTTCTAACTTGTACCAGAGAACATGCCTATTCTAATTAAGCAATGTTGTGGCCTGACTGCCCATGATCCAAGAAGTTGGCTTTGCCAACAAAAATTTAGTTCATCTCCTTTCAGCCCGATCCCATACAATCTGAAAATTGGGTAAGTGATATGACTCAAGCAGCTATTTGAAACCTTATTATGCCCTTAAAAAGTTAAAAGTGAAGCAGATTTCTCTAGCTCTTTTGATTCAAGTTCATAACAAACCACTAGTTTCTTGACTAATGATTGCCATCCTTTCTGCCAATAAGCTATTTTGCTATATTTGTAAATGCAATTCAATCAGAGCAACGTGCTTATGAGCTGAGTGCTAGGACAAAACAATTCTGAGGTTAAGTGAAATACAATATAGGTAGTTTATAAATATTCAAAAAAGGAATGATGAGAACCAAAGGTATTCTCACACTTTACAATTAGCGGACACATGTTAGTCTCTTTAGTGTTTTTATCTCTTTCAAACACCCACGTTCAAGATTTTTCCAGCACCAAACTAATCTAATAAATTACCTAAGACCAAAATACATTGCACAAAAAATAAAACAATTAATACAGCAGATAAACAAAACAATATACCAGAATATGTCATACTAAATGTTCACCTTTTGACTCCTTCAACAACTGCGTTGTGAAGAACATGATGATGAGCTGGATCCAAAATTGAGCTAGGAATCATTCCACCAATAAAACTACTTGAATTTTTACCCCTGAACACAGCAAACATCAAATAAAAAAAGGGATAGTGTATATTATAAGCCACATACAGGAATATCCAGTAAAATAAATCATAATATAATGCTTCGTACTTTGTAACTGAACAAAATATTAGTAATGTAGAAACGAGGAAGAAGAGAATTTGGGGGAAATTTGATAGTTAATTGTATTTTAATGCAATTAAATTATCGAATGGGATTTATTATCCCAGTCCCTTGAGTGGTTGGACACTCCCTTCTTTGGAGACAAACTGATGCAAAATTTAATTTACTTAGCAATTTTCTAATTACATTTCCTCTCACTGATCTCTTATATAGATATTTTCTGACTTCCTTCCCTTGCTCACCTTTTAACTAAAACTCTCTACCTTCCTCTCCAAGCTAATCCTAACCAACTAATTTTTTCAAACCAATAAAACTCCTCTCTCTAAACTAGTAGTCTTTTACATAAGCAGAACCGTAAATCTAACTTGGACATCAAAAAGCTCCTTTCACCCTTCTTCCATCCCCTCCAAGACACACTAAAACATGTGCATGTGCACATAGGGAATCGAGGAAAAGAACCCTAATGCGGAGTACAAGGGTATAAAGAGGAATGATTGGGGGGAATGAAAGAAATTCAGTGCTAACATGTTCCATTTGTTCTCCAGAATGACATCATTTAGTAAATGAGGCTACCCTAGTGGACTCCATACTACTGGAAGTTTTTCTGTTTGTGTTCACCCTAAAGAGAAGTCAATAAGATGAAAAGCAACACACAAGCTGCACAAACTTCATAGCAGACAGAACAGTATATACAACTCAATCACTACAAAAGCACTGAGTGACCTTTAAACAAAGCCTACATTCAGGAGGATGAAATACTTGGGTTTCAATAAACAAGAAAATTATGTCGACGCCGCAACAGTGACTTAAACAATGTAATGTGGTAAAAACTGTCCAAACATTTGCAACCCCAATGATTGAGCAATAGAAAAATCTAGAATTTGGATAGAGCTGTCACTAGAATAAAAATAAAGACACCAATTGAAAAGCAAAACAGTTTGAGCACCGAAAACAAAGAAATGATGAATTAAGCAACAAAAGAAGAAAAAGTCATTTCAATCTACCTTTGATTAGAGGCAGCTCCAAGTATGAATAAGTGAAGAGAACCAGAGGAACTTATGGCGGCAAGAAATTCAGGGAGCTGCACAAACGAACCAAAGGACAAGGAGAAAATTGTGGATGGATAGGCTCCCCTACGAAAACTGAAACACTGACAAGAAAAATAATTAGGTTAGGCAAAAAGATTTATACTGAGTATTATCTGAAAATGTGAAAAAGGTTTGAGGTTTGCCTTTGACACAACAGAAAGAATTAATATCATCCTTGAAACATATTATCACACAAGCACAAAAATTTTCATATCAATGGTGATAGCTGTTGAAATGTCTTTCACACATGCACAATTTCTCATCAAAAATAACCCGTTCAGTATACATGGGGAGCCCAAAAAGTGACAGAACATGGATAAATGAAAAGCATGCATTACTATTACATAAGAAGCCTGGGAAGTTGCAAGTTTCTAGTTTGCTGTCAAATTCAGGGTATTAGCTGAATGGAATTTCAATTACATTTACCCAGTTATATTCTTTCTTTTTCAAAACAACATACTCAAACCAAAAAATATGATCATAATAAGCTAGGCAAAATCCTAATGAATTTGCACTCTCATTGTAACTTATGTTACCAGATTGACACCTATTGGAGAGTCTGAGGTTAACAATCAAGTAATATGGATGTTCAAGTTTCCCTTCCTTGGAGTGGTGGATAGTGGCCTAGCCCACCTAAAAGGATATATTACCTCAGTTAAGGGCCTTTAGGCCCAGATCAAAAACTGGATCATACACAAAATCCATGAAGCAAAATCATACGAAGTACATACTTAACCAGGTCAGTTAGACAGCCTTAACTGACCTGGTCAGAAGATTTAATTCTTTCCTCTCAAGACATCATCGATGCAAAATCATACGAAGTACATACTACCAGGTCAGTTAGAGAGCCTTAACTGGCCTGGTCAGAAGATTTAATTCTTTCCTCTCAAGACTTCATCAATGGAGAATACTGGATGAAAACTTTTAGAGAGAGGTTATTTGGATCTCCAAGACGGTAAAAACCAGTTCCACACATCATCTTACTTTGTCCTCTTCAAGTACTAACATACAAAAATTTTCACACATAGAAGCACTAGATTTCACAGAGACAACATAACAGGAGAACAAAAAGTTGAAACTCAAGGATCCAACCCTTATAAGATGAGGAGGGCTCACACAAACATCAGGGAAGAGTATGTTCTCTATGGTTAGAAAACAGTTCCAATGCTGTCTGAGAAACATGCAGCATGAGCCAAATCAAATCAAGTTTTGTAGCAAAAGACAAATTGTGTTTGACAACAAAGAGTGGGACTGCATAAAAAGTTGAGCAGAGTAAGATGCTTTTAATGAACAGGAAAAAGGTTTATACTTGTTTACAACTGTATCTTAAAATTTTTGTCTCGGTTTAAAGAGGAAAATTCAAGTAGATAGAAAAAGATGGAATATTTAAGAAGGATTGACTAATCAAAGTCAGAGCTCGGCCAGGATGAACTTCAAGAGTATTTCAGAACTATAGATATTGTTTTGGATCTAACACAGTAAGCTGCTAAAGTATTTTGCCTATGAAGAGGAGGCTGAATGCAACATTAGATTGTAATGATACCATTGGTAATGAACCAGCATACAGATGATTCTAAAGAGATTGATTATGAAAGCTGTAACTACAATAAGTTAAAGATAATTTTCAAGTATTCGAGACTTGACCCTCTCCCAAAGCTAACAAAATAAGAATTGAAATATTCTGGATGCCTTTTCTCTATGCCTACTCTCCCTTATTTATACTAAATCTAATGACTACTAACAATATAATATGCTACTCCTAATGCCCCTTACCTAGGTCGCTCATTACAGCTGAAAGCACCACCAGGAAGTATTTACAACCCAACAGCAATGGTAAGGTACAACAGAGGTGCAACAGTGTCAAGGAGTGTAAAGATGTGAGCAAATGAGAGAGGGTGAATTGTGGCCTGCCAGTTTCCATAAAATGGATAACATTTACAACGATTATATTATCCCAACTCCCAAAAACAGACACACATTACTTCAAAGGGAAGATGATGAATGTTAGTAACACGATACACAGTGATAATATTATAAAGCACAATGTTGAATGTGACAGCCATATGACATGAATTGGCAAAGATAAGGACCTTTTCCAAAATTGATCCTTGGAACTAGATAAAAGTTACCTTAGTTCCTTCAGGTACTGTATGTACTCTAACCATGGTTCCTTGCTCTGATGCTGTCGCTAGGTATGTTCCATTAGAAGAAAAGACCATTGCAGCCAAGGGTGAAAGATGAGCATCTATCTGTACCAAACAATATCTTAATTAGAACAAAACCAAAGATTTAAAACTTCACAGCTCATGCTAACATTATTATTCTACATTTTTAGTCTACTATTCTACATTATTATGAAAGAAGACATACAACAGAAAGAAGCAGCCACACAAGGAAAGCAACAGATAGTTGAGATGACACGAGAACTGGCAGAAATTAAAATTACAGAGAAAATTATACTTTGTAAGAATTTTCATGCAGTTATCCTTTTCAGTGTTGCTAATGAATCATTCAAGAGCTCTTTATACTGTCATCCAGCAAGTCTAGATGCTATGTAGCACCATTAGTGTTTTACAAACTGATCAATTTAGATACAATTAATGTCTAATCTTATTTCAAAGAGGAGATCTCAGCTCTCCCATGAGTACATTTTTGTGCATTTCTCAACCAAACATTCTACACAACAAGGAAAAAGATAGCTGAGAAAGAAAATTTCATAGGGTCCTATCAGCCTTTCCCCATATGAGTGGAAGAAAGTAGTCAGAACAAGTCAAGAAGATTTATAAAATATGGCAAATGCCAACTATGGGCAGGAAATGTTGGAATTCTATTAGGTTTGTGATGTGGTAAATGGCTGAAAAATAGTCCTATACTTAAACTACACAATGACTTAAATCTTCTTCATAAGACCAACCTTGAGATTTTATCGTTAGATGCATGCACAAATATATCCAAATGCAAATTGTGTAATTTCAGGGGAGGGGGAGGGATTACGATAGATAGCTATGGATAATAATCATAATATTGATTTCACAAATAGTTGAGACTCTGAAGGAAAACACTTCACGGTGAGGTTAATTTTTGAACAGAAATTTGCAGTACTAGAATTTAGTTTGTATATGTTAGGTATTTCACATTATGGGGATAACGACTTTAGAAGCCAGAGTAGGAACAGGAAGGTATAAAGCATAAAAGCAATACTCACAGCGGATAAGAATGTGATCTTGTTCAATTTTCCTTTTCCCTTTTTTGTTATTGCCTATTTTCAAGAGGAGAAAGTCTAATGAGCAACAGAATTCAAGAGATTCATGTATCTCGTTTTCTATCATAATAGAATAAATAAAAAGAAAATTTATAATGATAATCAAGGCTTTTGTTGGACTTCCGTAAATCTTCCCAATTTTACATAAAACAAATCCTAGCTTTGAGAGGCATCATTATCATTCATAAAAGTTGCAGTGTATAGACAAGGTTTTCATAAGCAGTTCCATAACAATCTTCACCTCAGTCAATTAGAGCGGTCAAAATACACCTATACTTCAGTCAGGTATCTTCACAACATGCTGGACAAGGATCATATATATATATATAAAAAAATAAAAAAAAATAAAAAAAAAAAAATCATTCAAATAAGCAAGCAATTAAATAAGCAAATCCTCCATTTCTTATCTGAATCAGATAGTAACAGAAAAATTTATGTGAATTTACCAACCTCACACAGGGATTGGAGCTCCATAACATCGTAAACTAGCATGGATCCTTTGGTTGTACTTGCTGGAAGAGCCAAGAAGCAAGCATCCAAGATATGGGAGAATGCGGAAAGGCCTAAAATGAGAGAGTTCAAATATTAGACTGCGTAATAAACTCTGAAAAGTTCTATTGTAGCACACAGATTGACAGATACCCTTTCCAAATGAAAAGGAAAAAAAAAAAAAAAAAAAAAAAAACACTAGAAAGTAAAAAAGGAAAAATCCATTGACACTAGTCACAAAACTAGACAAGTCAGTATACTTCGTCTTGTACTTTAATCGCTTCCAAATATCAACAACCCTGACAATTTACTTTAGTCTTCGGAACCGGGAAGGATTATCTTCAAGTGACATTATTAAACCATTTTCAGAAAGATATACTCCCCCATTCCAAATATACTTGCAACACTTGTTTTGTTTGTCTGCTTCCAAAAACTGCATCACTTCCTATTTTGGCATGGGACTACTATTAATTTAATGCTTCTCTCTTTCACTAACCCTACTTGCATTAACTTTATATTGTTTGTGTCTCATGCAAACAAATAAAAACACCCCCATTTACTTTACTTGTACATTAGTTTATTCATTTCCATGTACTACCCACAAGCCTTTCAAAAACTACACACAAATAAAGTGTTGTGACTTGTGAGTTACATTTCACGCTTTATTGGTCATTGACATCAATCAATCAATCAATCAATCAAAGCCTCAATCCCATAAGTGGGGCCATTGACATAACCTAGCCAAATTGGAGGTAGAAAAAAAATAAAAAAATAAACAAACAAAAAAGGACTGAAATATGAAAAGAGATGACTACCCACCACAGGCAAAGGATATTAAACAAAATATAGATAGAATGAATAGCCAAGGTAAATGTTCACATCTTGGCTAAGGTCTTTTTTTGTTTCTTTACTGCCTCTCTCCCAATTGACTTACCAAACTAAAATGTACAAATAGCAATATTGTGAGCTTGAATTTAAAAGTAGCTCAGTATTTAGAGCAAGAGGGAGTTAATAGTTTATATAGTTTTGGGGAAAAGGGGATAAGAACATATCCATGGAAGTTCTATATTTTAAGATGTTGCCTAGGTTAACCGCTCTTGGTCAATAGTGTCTCTTCAGCTTGATGCTAAGAGTTCTATGCAATATCCTTACTTAGAGAATCCCAGCATGCTTGTGAGACACATATTGGGTTAATCATATCATATCATATCACATTACATTTTACTGCATATCTAAGACAAATTATGGATCTTTGGTAGCAATAAATCAGAAATAGAATAGATCATCAGATCAAATACCTTTTGGATTTGGCACAGTATCAAGTACACTTAAAATTGCAAGACTATTGATATCGTATATGAACACCTTGTCTTGCAATAGAACAATCAGTCTGCAGTATATGATACATAAGCAAAAGAAATATGAGTACAGAACACTGGATTTTAGCATTAAAAAGTCTTTTAATGGTTACTGGAATAAACAACAAAGATAAAATGCATTCATTTTGGCTACATATACAAGTAATGCATTCATTGGCCCCCAAGGTACAATAGACTTAGAATAGCAGGAAACACATGAAACTTCTAACAAACAACAAAAACAAGGGAATGTTAAGGAACTAAAGGGTCAAAGAACCAAAAGATAAGGGTGTATAGAGCCTGAACAATTGTAATAGGAAACACTGAAGTAGTCTATATATCAACATTACCATAATGCCACTACATAAAGTCTACAGGACCAAATGGCACAATAACCAAGACAGAAGCACACCAACATAATCTGTTGGACATAGTCTTCCTTAACATACATTTAGGGGAAAAGAAACAATCATGAAAAATAAGAAAAAAAGTTATTTAGTCGATGGGTTTCTCTCATCATACATTTGTCAACAAATACATGCACAAACAAATATCGGCTTTCAAAATAGCAAATAGCTCCCAGTCCTTAGTCTTTTATGGTAGCTGCAATTATTTTTAAAGGCAACTTGAGCTCTAAACCAAAATAGTGTGTTTATGTTGGATAAGTGATGAACATAAAATTACTCATCATCTTTGCAAAGTTCTATATCTTGCATCCATAGCCTTTGAGAGGGAGGAGATGGAAGAAAAGGAAATTCTCGCCCAAATTTCAAAAGAGTTAAAGCTTAGAAAAAGTTCAGGTTACTCACCTAAGCTTATTTAAACGAATAGCAAGAACTGAAGTCAAGAAATTTAGTTCTTGAAGAGGAGCTCCAGTTGTAGTATTAAACAAACAAAGGCGGCGTGGAGATAGAGCTGGCTGAGTGCACCCAAAGGAAACAAATGAACCACCTAATTAGAATTACACAAAGCAGCTAACAGACTGGCAGACTGATAGGTCATCAACTTAGTAAAAGAGCTAATATCATCTATGTCAAAATTCAATGGAAATAACCTGTTCACCAGCTCCAACAATGGCAAGAAGACTCGAACTGAAGCGCATTTCAACAATGCCGAAAGCACCAATATCTAGAAAAATAGAAACATGATCTCATAAGACTAGAGCTAAGCTAACATCTCTTGATCATCAGAAATAAACCTCGACAACCCAACCCTCTAACATCAGAACCTTTCACCCCAAAACTAACATAAGTAAACTAAAAAAAGCCATGTTCCTCTTACTCCAATATCATACTCAATGCATAAAATTTTAAAATTTTGATTTCGCCAATTCTACATTCTATACTATGTTACAAACATTCAGCAGATAAGGGTGAAAGTTCGGTTTTCATATTGGATAAGTAATGTTAGGCCAATTCTTCATGATGGGTAAGGCCGCCTACGAACCGAGACTGTACCAATAGCAACATCTCCATTAAAAGTATCATTATTATCATCATTATTATTTAAATAAGTTGCTGAATTCGGTCTCAAAAAAACAAGATGCTGAATTCAGCAGCAGCAGAATTCAATTAAATATTTTGCCAATCATATCAATTTACAACACATAAATTAAACTAATAGTGCCAATAATTCTGAAATTTAAAAATATCTAAGATTAATAAACTACAAAGATAAGAATTTACCCTTTTGGTAGCACAGCCTGAGAGTTTCAGCATCAAATATTTTGAACCCAAGCTTCGTCCCCACAGCAAAGCAACTTCATATAATCCAAAATAAATAGGAAAAAAAAAGCCATTAATTTTGAAAGACAAATTTTACAAATCAAAGTATAAAACTGAAAAACCCAGAATTAAAATAACCTGTAATCCTGATTGAAAGAAGCGCAGAGAATTGGGTATGATGAATTTTGGTTTGTCATTGTCAGAATTACATAAAGAAGAGAACTTGATTAAGAATTTTGGGTAATTTAATTGAATTATAGAATACTGAAACCCAGAATCAGAAAAGAAAAGGTAATTGATTAAAACAAGAGGAGAGATTTGGGAATGATCATAGCTCATTGGCCATAGTTAGAAATTGTGAGCACAAATTAAATTGAATTAAATTGTGGGATCACAGATTACACAAATTAAGAGGTGAATGAATGAGGAAGATTCTGGGTTGTGAAATAAATCAGAAATAAATAGTTGGTGTAAAAAAGTGATGATTTTGACTTCAAATAGAAACATTATTTATACTACTCGTATGCCTAAACTAAAGTACAAGTAGCTCAATTGGTTATTTGTGCAGGCAGAGTTTAGATCACATCTCGGGCAACGTTCGGCTAAGACGATGCCCCTTTAGTCGTATTTTTCTTCGTAGAATCAGAAACAAATCAACAACAATTAGTAGTGATTAAAAATTGTTTCGGGCCAAAAAGATGGACTGGATCGCACCGTAAACCGAAGAGGACATGTCTATTTTTAGTCTCCGATCCAATCCAATCCAATTCAAAATTGAAGAGGACCTGTCTATTTTTAGTCTCAATCCAATCCAAAACCGTTTTGGACCGGATGGATTTATTTAAAGTATGCCTAATTTTTTTATTTTATTTTTTTTTGGGAATAATGCATAATGTTTTTTTTAATATTATGAGTAATTTTTTAAAAAAAAAAAAATATTATGAATTATTTTTTACCGTACAAGGCTTTAAAAAGACATTAAATATATTGATCTTATTTTGGACCAGATTAATTGGCCCAATTTAGATTTGATAATAGAATAATTGGTTTGGCCTTCAAGGGCATATTCTTATATGCACCCTAGCTGGCTGCACCACTCATCAAATACCCCCTTTTATACACCAAACACACATATATACTATGTACTACTGGAGTACGGGTATATATTACTTCATCTCCTTCCTTCAATCTTATTCCTATTTTATTTCTTTCCTTATTTCTTAATTTTTACATAAATTTTTCTCCTTTTTCCAAATTCTTTACTAAATTCTTAATTTTGGTTGAAATTTTCTCTCTCAACTGTGTTTGGCATTATCTTTTTTTTAAAAGATTTTCTCTCTCCTCCATTTTTTGTATTTTCGTTGATTCATGATGGATTTAATTGGAATCTTTAAGAGATTATTGATATAAGTTGGTTTATGTTATTGATTTGTAATTTGGTTTAATTGGTTATATTTTCTAAATTTGTGATTGATATTGCATATATATTTGTTGGGTAATTTGCCAATTTGTAATAGGTGATGAACACAAATTGATTGTAGTACTTTTCTCTTCAATTTTTTTCCTATAATAATTTTAATCATAATTTTCATCAAAATGCGATCATAATTTTCATCAAAAATTTTATTCTCCTTTGTTTTTTCCTCTTTCGTTCTTCATTTTCTCTCTCCTTTGTAATTGTATTCTGTTTAATTTCTATCAATTTGATCTATGTATGAATTTCGATTTTTTTGTGGTGATTTTGTAATGAATTTTGATCAATTTGATTAGGTTTGTAAACATGCAATTCATATGAATTGAATTTACGGCCTTTAATTATGAACATAAGAAAATTGAAGAAATAAAAATAAAATGATTATGAAACATATGCATTATAAGTATTAAAAATATGAACATATGCACTAAAAATATGAATATATGCATTTTAGAAAATGAACATACGTATTCAAAATATGAATATATGCATTGATTTATTTTTTGAATGCGTATGAACATAATTAAGAATTCTAGAAGGTAAACATATACATAAAAATTTCAGAAAGTGAACATATGCATTTCAGAAAGTTTACAAAAGGATTCAAAATATGAACATAAGCATTTAAGAATGAAAGTGAACATATGCATAAAAAATATGAACATATGCATTTCAGAAAGTAAATATAAGCATTCAAAATATGAACACAAGCATAAACAGACAAAATGAGAAGAAGATTAAGAATATTTATCATATGAACAACAAATAATAATATTATGAACATTTCAAAACATTTTATGAACATAAGGTATCTGTTTGATTTCACTAAATTTTTTAACAATTCCAATAAAAATTTCGAACAATAGAGTATCGAACAATATTCATACAAAATTAAGTGATATTCATATAAAATTAAGTGAAATTTACATAAAATTACCTTTTTTGGGATTTTCATCTCATCTCAAATATCCATGGTTGTTTTGGAGGAGAGAGTGAATTGTGTTTGATTGTAAGAGAGAAAAAAATCAAATAGAGGAGTACTAAATTTCAGAAATTTAAGTTTGAGAGTCACGTTTTTTTTTTTTTTAAATTATATATTTTTTTTAAAAAAATAGCTGTTGGAAGTAACGGTTTTATATAAATGACAATTGGGTGAGCTGCATTTTAAAGATATGTTCAGTTTTTTGGGTGGGCTCATTTTGGTTTGACCTATTTTAATAGGACGCGTTTGAAATTGGGCATGTGGGCTGGTGTTGCAGCTAGAATAGCTGCACAAGAGACCAATTGGTCTTCAAGTCATGAATTTCAAACTTTGGGTCCAATCTTTAACCGGTGAATGACCATGCTAAATAGCGCCTCAAATGATAATACGAGTAGTTTTCTTTGTTTGTTACATTACCCTTTTTTTATATCCCCTCAAGTTTGCCCTATATTATAGTAGTACCTCTCACCAAAAAAAAATATCATAGTAGTACCATCATTTCCTTTGTTTCTCAATAAATAAATCAATTTGAATGAACAATTTTGCTTACTCACTACTTTAACCATTAATTTATCCATTGCATTTCAATAAGTAAAAATCATGATAAGTCATCGACTCATCGTAGTATTTTGAATATGTACATTAAGATTAACGCAATACAACAATGAAAATCACCATATATTGTTAAGACTCTTAAGAACAGAATATGTCAAAGTTGTTAAAATCGAAGTGCTAAAATTGTTAATATTGAGAAAGTCGAAATGCTAGAATCATTAAAATCAAAAAAGACCACGGTTCACCATTCCATTACTCTGTATCACATTCTCTACATTTGATCCCACCAATTTTCAATCGCACAAACTCCACCTAATTATTACCTCTATTTCGTAATAATCGTAACACTTTGACTTTTGCATTATTTATAGGCTTACTTTGACTTTATTTTTTACCAATATAGAAAAACATGCGGTATATTGCTATGTAAAATATTTCGGATTAGTCTTTAAGCATATTTTCATTATATTAACCTATTATACTTCTTAATAATATTTGTTTAAAAAAAAAAAAAAGCTTCTTAATAATATATAAATACAAATTTTAATGGTCAAAGTTGTACATTGACATATGTGCGGTTAAAATGTAGCGATTATTATGAAACGGAGAGAGTAAATAAAGAACTTGATATTTGATAGAGTACAATTGATATGTGGGCAAATAAGATACTCTCTCCGTTTTTAAATACTTGCTCCATATTTACTTTTTACACTATTCATTTATCCTACCTTGACCAATGTTTGTCATTTATACATAAAAAAAATATAGTCTTGTAGGTACTTGTTGAATCGTCTCAATTAATAGATTATTAATTTTTAATTATTAGAAATTATATTTATTAATAATTAAAGATATAATTAATAAAAAATCTACATCAATATATGTGCCCATATGAAATGGAGCAAGCATTTAAAAACATAGGGATAATATATATTAATAGAGATTTGAGACGACAGTATTTGCAACTGCCACCAGATTACATCACACCAACCTACCAAGCTACAACCAGTAGGCGGCTAATATCCAGTACTACTGTTAACAGCTTTTTGACCATTATGTTACATCAACTCTCTCTCTCTACTCATTCTTACTACAACAAAAATAGCATCTTATATTCTTATGCATATATTTTCCCAAATTATATTTACATTCACAAGTTACCCCAAACAAGAAATTTAATGCAGAAATTATTAAAAAAACATGCCTAAACTCTATATGAGTAAACTTTTTACAGCTCATATTCCAAATTAATTAATAATGCAGGGACAAAAATTACATATTCTTTCTTTGCAGCTGTGATTTTGTTTCATTTTATATTTTATTTATTAGTTTAAGCTATCTTGGGCCAGAGAGTTCCATGGCAAAAGAATCCAATGAATGCTCATCATCATCATCATCATCAAAACTAGCTCCAAACATGGTTGTAGGTGGAGGGTGATGAGGATCGGTTGGCATGCTCCCGGCACGTGACAAGCTTTTGTTGTTTGGGTGGGAGAAGCCCATGTTGAGATTGTCTTGACCGTGGGCAGCGGCCCATTTCTCTGCGAGTCCATCTCCCTCGAGCATACGTACCACCTCGGACATTTTGGGCCGGTGGGCCGGCAAGTATTGGGTGCAAAGCAAGGCAACTTGAAGAATCTCTCCTACTTCTATCCTATCATAGTTGGTCCCTAGTTCCCTATCAACTAGCATCTCCACTTTTTTCTCCTGCAGAATTTTCTTGACCTAAAGGCATAAACATGGCATGTATAAAGTGGTTTAGCAACAATTGGAAAAGAAAGTGAAGTAAAAGGAATAGAGATTAAAGAGAACAAAAACACATTGTGGGCCTGGGGTCTAATTATTGAGAAAAAGTAGAGAAAAAACTTATTACGGGTAATAGTAGTATGATAAACGGACAAGATTGCATACGTTAACTTTAATTTCAAGCGGGATGGAGGAAGTATAAAGTATTTTTTACTATAACAAAAGATGTGATACACGTGTTTCGAGCAACTTTACAGCAAAGAAAATCCAGCACTTCGTGCAAGGAAGATACCATATAATCTTCTACAATTAATAATTGCTGATGCTTAGTATAAATAATTTCTAATCTTAAGAAACACAATCATTTGATAATACCCTATTGTGCTTCTTGAATGAATAGATTTATGTTTAAAGTAAGAACAAGGGGGATCCACATTATGTTTATCCTATAAAAGATTTGTGGATTAAGAAGGGACCCATCGCCCTCAACGGCTTAGGCATTTGCTTTTGTTTAAGCATATTATAACACTCTCCAATATTGGAAAGATTTCGCAATCAACATGATGGTTGATTACTAAAGTGGTCAAATAATTATAGTGGTGTAATCATATGGTTTTACTACTAATACACGATCAAAGTGACTGTATAATTATCAATCAAGTTGATCTCCCACTAAAAAGTTACTATGATAATTAATTAAACACACTTCTACATGAAATGTACACAACAAAATCTACATATGACCTATATACAATGTTATTAGACTGGTAACTACGGCTATGCTCTTTTTACCTCAAAATAAAGTTATGGGATATATACACGGTCATATATATGGGCTACACAATTTATTTGACAG